TGGGGGATTCGTAAAGAATCTACGTGTAATATCTGAGTGATCGTTGAAATTATCTGGAAAGAAATTGGAAAAAAAAACGAGTAATATAATATTCACCATTACTTTCTTTCAACTGTTACATACTAGAATAACTACAAAATTTAAAATATTCCTCAAAAAAAAAAATTCCTAGAAACTGCTAAGAGTTAATAAATAAAACGAATCTCTATCTAATTGCAAGTTGCACTCTCCTTTGTTAAACTGATGCTCAAAAATTCATACAAAATTCTATTCGTAACTGCTAATTTACCCAGATAATTCTGTCGCTCGGAAGCAACGATTGACTTCTCCCCTTTAAATTGATATTTAAACATTCATACAAATTTCATTCATTCTACGCGTGAAATCTGCTTGCAAGATTCACCTGAATTTTGTCGCTGAAAACTGGCGATTGTTTGGACGACACGATGCACCTTAACGCAGAATAGAAACGGGCAGATATGTCTCGGCTCGACGTGTGTGCAGTCGATATCTGCATAATAATGCGTGCTGATAAAGCCAGGCCATGGGACGCAACGTCAGCCAGTGGCATTGTCTCGATTTCCGAGGGAATTCGACGGGCTTACGGTAATTTCTGGCATTCGGTTCGGTGTCACGGGTCGACGTCATGGTTAAGTGCTCCTCGTTCGAGCGTTGTAGAGGCGGACACGCTGGCTAGAGCAGTTTCGATCGCGGCTTTTCTTCGACAACGTCGAGGCATGCCCGATTTTGCTAATTCGACCTCGCATTCTGCCTGCACGAAATACAATTAACGCGCGGCCATTCGATTTTTGCAAACATTTGAACTTGTTTTTTTTTTTTGTTTGTTTGTTGTAAGTGTACACTCGTTAATAATGGAAACTACTGGCGAGTGTTAGTACTTTTAAATCGTTGAGATTTAAACAGTAAAAGCTCTCAGCTTTCAAAGAATTAAAGTATCACCATTCAAGGTTTTAGCCATTAGTTTCATTTAATTTCATTATTAATCTTTGTTACCCGAAGAACGACTCGAAATCACCACATTGTTTGACAGTTGATAACATTCATTCACATTGTTTCTCTCGCAAAAGTATGGAACTACATTAATAGTAAAGTCTTGATTTGTCGAACTATAATAAAAGTCGAGACAACTCCAGCCATCCAACTATTTTATTGAAAAAGAAAAGAAGTACTCAAATGTTCATGAAAGTTTACGTACGTTGCGAGCTTTCTTTCAATTTCGTCCTTCCGCAAGAAAAGAAAAGAACTTGAAAGAATTTTTAAGAGTTACTGCAAATAGTTGTTTCGTACTTGGAACATACGTTATAACTATCGAGTATTCCTTATGAAATATAGAGGGAAATTTACATAAATGCAGCGCCTAATCGCAGAGACCATTTATACGAATTTCGCGTTCTTGTTCTCACCTGTACTTTACACCTGTATAAAGACTGGTCATCATAGGATGACCTAATACCAGAAACTAATAACTCATGAAATATTTAACAATTTTCTAATAACTTGTCTTTCCATAAGTATACTGCATATGAACGAGCGTATAACTCGTTCTCAAATGTCAGGTATTTTTAAATTAATACATAGAGTCGAGCATGTAATAATTGTTGATGATCAAACGTAATAAATGTTTTAATTTGCAATGTTCGTGGAATACATGAAACAAGTATTTTATACTTGAATCATGACGAATGAAGATCAAAGAGATACAATATTGCACGCGTGAGGTACAGAATATAGTTTTTAAGAAACGTGATTTTCGAAATATATGAAATACATGAAAATGTTCAGAAATACTTCTCATTGTTCGTTTATCTTCATAATTTTTCCGACAGAGAGCAATTATGTCGTTCTTCTTAATTTATATGACAACGTACTGTATCTAATTATTACGATTTTTATCCTTGACTATCTTTGCGAACGTATAAGGTGAAAAATTGACAATTCTGTGATTAGCAAAGTCTAATTATGTAACTATTTCGAAGAACGCACAGCGGATGTAGAAAATATTCGTAGACTCGATGAAAAATGGCCAAACTTTTTTTATCAAACTTTCAAGAAAAAAATTCTAACAAATTCCAAGAAATTATTATAAAGGAAAAATCTACTGCAATCTTCGAGATCTAAAGTAGATTTATTCATAAAAAAAAAATTTTTTTTCCAATGTCTATGAAGACGTTCGAATTTACAAAATTTTTTAGAGTGCAAACGTGCAATACCTTTTTACGTCCTTTTTCTAAAATTGTGTAGCGATAAAATTTCGTCCGAAGATTCGTCCCGCATCCGATGAATTACTTTACTAGCCAATCCACTAGAGAACGTGAAAGTTAATTTTCTCTCGGATACGAACGTGTGGGTGAGAATAACTTCCCATCCAGACTCTGAATCGCGTATTTGTTCCAATAGTGACTTGATGTGCAACGCGAAATATACGAAAATGTGGACTGGACGGAGAGTCTCGACCCAATTCTTTCTCTACGGTGAGAAAGGAGCCTACGACGAGACTCCGTGGAAGGATATCACCGGGTAGAAATCCTGAAAGGGAGCGGCTCTTCCTTTTCAGAGAGAAACTAGTCAAAGGGAGTCTTAACGTGGATGTGATACGATATCCGATCGTTTCAATAAGCCTGCCGGCCGATGAAATAGGGGACAAATTATCTTTTCCTTCGACGTATATATCTGATCTAATTTCTAATTTTACTTCAACACTGTCAGAACCATCGAGCTGATCAAAATGATCATCTCGAGTAGTGTTTTCAAGATCTAGAGATTTCGAAGGTGCTTTCAACAAAATAAAAGCGTACGTGTGTTCCTCCGTTTAAAAAATTTTTCAAATTATTGAAAACTCATTACTCGTGCTTTATTATTTGTTACTTTGTTGCTTGAATTTAAACTTCATAATTACAGTCGTCGGTTGTTCGTCGAATTCTAATTTTAACTTTAACCCAATGTCTAATTTAATTTACCAGATTGATCCAATTTAATTTATACTCTGATTTAAATACAATTTAAATGTCATTTTAATTCCAGTTCGCCTGTAGCTGATCGCCTGTAATTTCTTTCGATTATTTCAAACTTTCTCTCTCTCTCTCGCCGAGACCGTAGCGCCAAGCAAGCAATCACCTAGAAAACGCTGGGACGAAAATAGGAAAGCTAGAAACTATAGGCAGAGCTATTAAAATTGATTGGTAAAACTTAAACGCTGCGTGAAACGAACACCGAAAGTCGCCGGGGCGACGTTGGGGAAAAGTTTCCAACGCGTTATTCAGCTTTCGTTACCTCTATACACGTGCTTCCCCGTGTCTCAGCCATTATATCATGAATTATTTGGCCCCGTTCGGTCGAACGAAGGCATCGATCCGGTCGCTGTGCAACCGACGTCGCGTTCCAAAAAATTTGCTATAAAACTCGCGAAAAAATTCAGTGGAATCGGAATTCCCGACGCAGTTCTCGTCACACTGCAGAATTCTCTGTTGCCGAGAAATTGGCCGTTAAATCGTAAATCATGGCATATGTTCAGTGGCGGCCGCGAACTTTCATTAAATTTCCGATCGTTCGAAAAAAAAATTGGCGACGTTTAAATCTCGTAACATAAAAAGTAATAATACAGCAATAAGTGTGGGCTCAGATTTTAAAAGCTCGAAAATTCCACCTTCACAATTCTGGATTCACTTTTTCTCTGTTTTTCCCCTTCCCCCCTCGAAACTGCTATAAATTCGAACGTCCCTCGATGAATTTGAAGATCGAAGCTCTTCCTCTGAAACCTGCCGTGAAATTTCTTCAATCTTTGTCAATAAGTTTAACTTCAATAACTTGACGAAAAAGAGAAAAAAATCATACGGCAAATTTTAGAGGATTGTTGCGAAGTAACAGTGTAATATGTAGAAATTCAAATGCCTCTAAAAAAACAGTTTTTCGGAGCAATTTTCACTCATAAATAGAAGCTTTAAAACGAGAAGACGATTGCTGTGCGATCTTTTTTATGAGATTGTAGCAGTCAAAGATAGAAGGCAATCTCTCGTCGTTGTGATCGTTTTATTGTCTTCTTATTCGTTCAACTAGTGCCTCGAGTTCCAAAAAATTGTCATAAAACTCGCGTGAAATCTAACGGGAAATCCAAAGAATATCCGGAATCGCCTTTCGCAATCTCATCTTAAAAATTGTTGTGTATATACGTACGTACCTTCCTCGTCTTCCTGTTTCAGTAGCACTTCAAGCTCGTGGTCGTCGAAAGTGTGCCCCAGAGTGTTGAGGATTGTTCTCACTTTTTCCTTCTCGATCCGGCCAGACTTGGTTGAATCGAACATGGAGAAGGCTCTCCTGAGCACTGTAAAATACAACGAATCGAAACAAATAAATTGCTTCTGTAGTCGTCTCATTCATTTAAATGACTTCGTTTGTTTGCTACGCAAACGATTCACGAAAATATTCGTACAATTACTACGTACGAAACATTTCGAATTTGTTGGAAACTTTATCGATACGAGAATCGTCTC